AGTTGGAGGGCTGTGGGGTGGAAAGGTATATGATCGGAGGGCTGTGGGGTGGTAACCGTATATGATAGGAAAGCTGTGGGGTGGTGAGGTATATGATTGGAGGGCCGTGGGGTGGTAAGGTATATGATGGGGAGGGCTGTTGGATGTTAAGGTATATGATGGGGAGGGCTGTGGGGTGTTAAGGTATATGTTGGGAGGGCTGTGAGACTGTCAGTAACATGATGGGAAGGCTGTGGGGTGGTAAGGTATATGATGAGATGGCTGTGGGGTGGTAAGGTATATGATGGGAGGGCTTTGGGGTGTGAAGGTATATGATGGGAGGGCTGTGGGGTGGTAAGGTATATAATGGGAAGGCTGTTTGTTGGTAAGGTATATGATGGGAAGGCTGTGTAGTGGTAAGGTATATGATATGAGGGCTGTGGGGTGGTAAGGTATATAATGGGAAGGCTGTTTGTTGGTAAGGTATATGATGGGAAGGCTGTGTAGTGGTAAGGTATATGATATGAGGGCTGTGGGGTGGTAAGGTATATAATGGGAAGGCTGTTTGTTGGTAAGGTATATGATGGGAAGGCTGTGTGGTGGTAAGGTATATGATATGAGGGCTGTGGGGTGGTAAGGTATATAATGGGAAGGCTGTTTGTTGGTAAGGTATATGATGGGAAGGCTGTGGGGTTGTAAGGTATATGATAGAAAGGCTGTAGGGAGGTAAGTATGTGGTGGTAAAGTATATGATGGGAGGGCTGTGAGAAGGTCAGTAACATGATGGGAAGGCTGTGGGGTGGTAAGGTATATGATGGGAGGGCTGTGGGGTGGTAAGGTATATGATGGGAGGGCTGTGGGGTGGTAAGGTATATGATGGGAGGGCTGTGGGGTGGTAAGGTATATGATGGGAGGGCTGTGGGGTGGTAAGGTATATGATGGGAGGGCTGTGGGGTGGTAAGGTATATGATGGGAGGGCTGTGGGGTGGTAAGGTATATGATGGGAGGGCTGTGGGGTGGTAAGGTATATGATGGGAGGGCTGTGGGGTGGTAAGGTATATGATGGGAGGGCTGTGGGGTGGTAAGGTATATGATGGGAAGGCTGTGGGGTGGTAAGGTATATGATGGGAGGGCTGTGGGGTGGTAAGGTATATGATGGGAGGGCTGTGGGGTGGTAAGGTATATGATGGGAGGGCTGTGGGGTGGTAAGGTATATGATGGGAGGGCTGTGGGGTGGTAAGGTATATGATGGGAGGGCTGTGGGGTGGTAAGGTATATGATGGGAGGGCTGTGGGGTGGTAAGGTATATGATGGGAGGGCTGTGGGGTGGTAAGGTATATGATGGGAGGGCTGTGGGGTGGTAAGGTATATGATGGGAGGGCTGTGGGGTGGTAAGGTATATGATGGGAGGGCTGTGGGGTGGTAAGGTATATGATGGGAGGGCTGTGGGGTGGTAAGGTATATGATGGGAGGGCTGTGGGGTGGTAAGGTATATGATGGGAGGGCTGTGGGGTGGTAAGGTATATGATGGGAGGGCTGTGGGGTGGTAAGGTATATGATGGGAGGGCTGTGGGGTGGTAAGGTATATGATGGGAGGGCTGTGGGGTGGTAAGGTATATGATGGGAGGGCTGTGGGAAGATCAGTAACATGATGGGAATGCTGTGGGTTGGTAAGGTATATGATGGGAGGGCTGTGGGGTGGTAAGGTATATGAAGGGAGGGCTGTCGGGTGGTAAGGTATAAGATAGGAAGGCTGTAGGGAGGTAAGTATGTGGTGGTAAAATATGAGATTGGAGGGCTGTGGGGTGATAAGGTATATGATAGGAAGGCTGTAGGGAGATTAGGTATATGCTGGGAGGGCTGTGGGGTGGTTAGGTATATGATGGGAGGCCTGTGGGGTGGTAAGGTATATGATAGGAAGGCTGTAGGGAGGTAAGTATGTGGTGGTAAAGTATATGATGGGAGGGCTGTGAGAAGGTCAGTAACATGATGGGAAGGCTGTGGGGTGGTAAGGTATATGATGGGAGGGCTGTGGGGTGGTAAGGTATATGATGGGAGGGCTTTGGGGTGGTAAGGTATAAGATAGGAAGGCTGTAGGGAGGTAAGTATGTGGTGGTAAAATATGTGATGGGAGGGCTGTGAGAAGGTCAGTAACATGATGGGAAGGCTGGCGGGTGGTAAGCTATATGATGAGATGGCTGGGGGTGATAAAGTATATGATGGGAGGGCTGTAGGATGGTAAAATATATGATTGGAGGGCTGTGGGGTGATAAGGTATATGATAGGAAGGCTGTAGGGGGGTAAGTATGTGGTGGTAAATTATATGATGGGAGGGCTGTGAGAAGGTCAGTAACATGATGGGGTATGTGGTGGTAAATTATATGATGGGAGGGCTGTCAGAAGGTCAGTAACATGATGGGAAGGCTGAGGGGTGGTGAGGTATATGATTGGAGGGCTGTGTGGTGGTAAGGTATATGATTGGAGGGCCATGTGGTGGTAACCGTATATGATTGGAAAGCTGTGGGGTGGTGAGGTATATGACTGGAGGGCCGTGGGGTGGTAAGGTATATGATGGGGAGGGCTGTGGGGTGGTAAGGTATATGATGGGGAGGGCTGTGGGGTGTTAAGGTATATGTTAGGAGGGCTGTGAGACTGTCAGTAACATGATGGGAAGGCTGTGGGGTGGTAAGGTATATGATGAGATGGCTGTGGGGTGGTAAGGTATATGATGGGAGGTCTTTGGGGTGTTAAGGCATATGATGGGAGTGCTGTGAGAAGGTCAGTAACATGATGGGAAGGCTGTGGGGTGGTAAGGTATATGATGGGAGGGCTGCGGCGTGGTAAGGTATATGATGGGAGGGCTGTGGGGTGGTAAGATATATGATAGGAAGGCTGTAGTGAGGTTGTGTATATGATGTGAGGGCTGTGGGGTGGTTAGGTTTATGATGGGAGGCCTGTGGGGTGGTAAGGTATATGATAGGAAGGCTGTAGGGAGGTAAGTATGTGGTGGTAAAGTATATGATGGGAGGGCTGTGGGGTGGTAAAATATATGATGGGAGGGCTGTGGGGTTGTAAGATATATGATAGGAAGGCTGTAGTGAGGTTAGGTATATGATGGGAAGGCTGTAGTGAGGTTAGGTATATGATGGGAAGGCTGTGGGGTGGTACGGTATATAATGGGAAGGCTGTCGGGTGGTAAGGTATATGATGGGAGGGCTGCGGGATGGTAAGGTATATGATGGGAGGGCTGTAGGGTGGTAAGGTATATGATGGGAGGGCTGTGAGAAGGTCAGTAACATGATGGGAAGGCTGTGGGGTGGTAAGCTATATGATGTGAAAGCTCTGGGGTGGTAAGGTATATGATGGGAGGCCTGTGGGGTGGTAAGGTATATGATAGGAAGGCTGTAGGGAGGTAAGTATGTGGTGGGAAAGTATATGATGGGAGGGCTGTGAGAAGGTCAGTAACATGATGGGAAGGCTGTGGGGTGGTAAGGTATATAATGGGAGGGCTGAGGGGTGGTTAGGTATATGATGGAAGGCCTAAGCGGTGGTAAGGTATATGATAGGAAGGCTGTAGGGAGGTAAGTATGTGGTGGTAAAGTATATGATGGGAGGGCTGTGAGAAGGTCAGTAACATGATGGGAAGGCTGTGGGGTGGTAAGGTATATGATGGGAGGGCTGCGGGGTGGTAAGGTATATGATGGGAGGGCTGTGGGGTGGTAAAATATATGATGGGAGGGCTGTGGGGTGGTAAGATATATGATAGGAAGGCTGTAGTGAGGTTGTGTATATGATGGGAGGGCTGTGGGGTGGTTAGGTTTATGATGGGAGGCCTGTGGGGTGGTAAGGTATATGATAGGAAGGCTGTAGGGAGGTAAGTATGTGGTGGTAAAGTATATGATGGGAGGGCTGTGGGGTGGTAAAATATATGATGGGAGGGCTCTGGGGTGGTAAGTTATATGATAGGTAGGCTGTAGTGAGGTTAGGTATATGATGGGAAGGCTGTGGGGTGGTACGGTATATAATGGGAAGGCTGTCGGGTGGTAAGGTATATGATGGGAGGGCTGCAGGATGGTAAGGTATATGATGGGAGGGCTGTATGGTGGTAAGGTATATGATGGGAGGGCTGTGAGAAGGTCAGTAACATGATGGGAAGGCTGTGGGGTGGTAAGGTATATGATGTGAAAGCTCTGGGGTGGTAAGGTATATGATGGGAAAGCTGTGGGGGGGTATGTTATATGACAGGAAGGCTGTGGGGTGGTAAGGTATAATCAATAAAATCCTTTTCCTTCTGTGGGATTTTATCCAAATTTTACCTGGAGCATCCTTGAGCAAAGGGGACTAACTTTTATATAAACAGAGGGTGTGACCTCTCTGGTTGCAGTGTTGCAGAGCCCAATAGGGGCATTTGAGGTTTAAATCTTTAAAATTCTTCTTCTGTACCATTGGAGGGATTTTATCTTAAATTTTGCCTAGAACATCCTGGTGCAAAGTGGACTGAATTTTGTATAAACAGAAGGTGTGGGCCCTCTCAGTGCAGAGGGGTGGCCCAAAATTTGAATTTGAGGTTTAATTCTTCAAAATCCTTCGTTCTTCTATTGGAGATTTATCCAAATTTGGCCTGGAGCAACCTTGCACAAAGGGTACATATAAATGGAGGGTGTGGCCCCTCTTAAGTGCAAAGTTGCAGAGCCCACTAAGGGAATTTAAGGTTTAAATCTTCAAAATCCTTCTTCCTCTGTTCCATTGTAGGGATTTCATCCAAATTTGGCCTTGAGCAGAATAAAGGGAGGTGCGGCCACTCTGGGTGCAGAGTATCAGGCCCTTATAGGGGAATTTGAGGTTTAAATCTTAATGATCCTTCTACTTCTGTACCATTAGAGGGATTTAATGTAATAATTTGAATAATTTCCCATGGTTTGTTTTATTGTCCAGGTGAGGGATACAGGCCCTCTGGGCCTTTTGTTTCTGACTTTTATTGAGAAATTATATGACTTATGTTTTTCTTATTGTATTTTCAGTTATTTTTGGGGCTGGCTGTCAGACAGGTATGGACGACGGCCAATTATGATGATTACCGTATTTGGAAATGGATTTTTCTCATTGGTGTTTGGATTTACCTACAATCTTCAAATGGCTATTATTTCTCGCTTCCTCACAGGACTCGCAAATGGTAAATAATTAAATATGCAAAATATTAAAAATCTGTGTTGCATTTTTCCCAACCAACCCTAGATTTTAATCAGAAAGCTGTTTAAATCATACCACAGATTGGTCACATTTAATAAAATTCCCTGTATAGTCAAATCTTATTAATCCAAACAGTTGGATTACCAGAGAAAGTGTCCAGATTAACAAGTCTACAGCAAACAACATATTCATTAGTTATTTTTTATTAAATCAGTATTTTGAGTACATTGGCACCTCACAAATTGCCCCTATAGATGTGATACATGTTTACTTAAAAAGGTTTTTCCCTGCGTTTTGTCAAAAATGATAACGGTAAACCTCCGATTGAAAAAAAAAAAAAAGTATTGTCAAACCTATTAGAATTACACGAAATTATAGCTGCTAAAATAAAGAGTAGTTCAAACTATCCAAGTCGAGATCGGCTAAAACCACGGCAAACAGTCAAGTCGTTGATACGGAACAGCGGTAATCTGGAGATGAATAATGGTACATATATCTTTCTTATCCTTATTTACATATTAATAATCTATTGTTAAGTTCAATCGCAATGTAGAGACAAGTATGTAGGCCGCAAAGCAGTAGATGTTTTCTAGAGTATTAACGGAAGTTCAATTGTAATGTATCAGAATGCGGAGGGTGGGAGGAAACTGTAATTACGGATTAATAGTTTGATTGACCACCTGGTCAAATATTTTTGATGTGGCACATGTAAAGGTTATATATAAGTAATAAATCAGGGATCAGTGGCCAGGTTGTGATCGTGACAAAATACACACGTGTGACAATACCGCGCTTTGTGTACTGTAAGGATCGGGCTTAAAGATGTTTGACTGGCGAGTGCACATAATTACAAGAAAAAAACTCAATCACCGGTAACATGTGGCGTATTTATGTATAAATTGTCTGTAATCGATGACATCAATGGTCACACATCATGAGTACTACCTGTTATTCAGTAGTTAACGCTGTCTATGCGAAAATGGATCAGTTAAGCGAATTTCGCGTGGCTATTATTGCATAGCCGATAGCCAACCTCGATCAATAATCTTCCTTTTCATGTCAGGAGCATAACTTTACCCGCATTTAAGGTAGGACCATGAATCTTGGTGTGTACATCACTCATACATTCGGTTAAAAAACTTATTCAGTTTAAACGCTGAATGTATGAGTGTCTTAAAAAGAGGAAATTATTAACAGAAAACATTCAAATGTTTTGTAAAAATACATTTAGTAAAACAAGGGATGTAGTTTCTTTTTGGGCTGTTAAAAAATCTATGCCTTATGTTTTCGATTGAGCCAACCTCGATCGAAATTGTGTGTTCGAACAATCCGAAACGTGTGTAAGCAGGGTTGGAACTATTACTAGACAGAAAATCAATATTTTAATTATTCAAAAGTGTATTCAAATTATTTGCCTATTGGAACTGACCGAAGGACTGTAATCATTAATAGCTTGACCTAGAATTTTGCTGTAGACATCTCACAGCTAGACAAGAGTATCCAAACTAGAGATAATTGTATCTAAGAAATTAGACTACATTTGTGCATGTATTTCCAGTAAAGATAATTATCAGTGTCAATTTTCTTAAAACAACTTTCAATCAACTACTGCTTGAATAACCAAAAGACCCAGGAAAATGATATTTGGCCAGTAACTGCCACCAAGTTCATTCAAATGAATGACCTTGAGAAAGATATGTTAAAAACTTTAAATGACTTCTGATCACCAGGGTGATGATATTTAGCCTGTGAGTAGCATGCTGGGATGAAGGGTTACCAAGTATGTTCAAATTAATGACTTTCATTCATATTGATGGTCACAGGGGTCAATTGTCTCAAAAAAACTTTAAATGACTTTTTCTGAATAACCAAAATGGCTAGGGTGTCCACTGATGATATTTAGTCAGTAACATGCTGGGATAAAAAGTAACCAAGTTTGTTCAAATGAATGACCTTCATTCATAGCGAAGGTCACATGGGGTCAAATGTCTAAAAAAAACATTCTAAACAACTTCTTAATAACCAAAAGTCCCAGTGTGTTGATAACTGGCTTATAATATACTTGGTGGAAGTCTGTCAAGTTCAAGGTCACCGGGGTCAAATACGTAGAAATATTTCAATAACTTTTTCTAAATAACCAAGGCCCAGTGCAAAGATATGTAGACAGTAGCTTGATGAGATAAGGTTTGTTCAAGTTTGTTCAATTGAACTACCTTTACCCGTATTCGAAGTCACAGGGGTCAAATATTTTTAAGCAGATTCTTCTGAATAACTAAAATTAATAGGGTGGTGATATTTGGCCAATAGCATGCTCAGATACAGAGCTATCAAGTTTGTTCAAGTGAATGACCTTGACCCACTTTCAAGGTCACATAAGGTCAAATGTATATAAACTGGAGGTTAAGGTCACCGAGGACATTAGTAGTCGTATTTTACATTGGTCTCCACAAAACTTGTGTGTTGTGTGTATTGTTCCTATTGTTGGGGGATATGACATTTGACAATAGGAAACATATCTAGAGCTTTGGATGTGTGAAGCAGAATTTTTCTAGTGATTTAGACAATTTTATATCAAAAACAATACTTACCACGTCCAATTATTATGCAAATGATCTCCAACTACCAGTTCTTTAACTCCCAAAGGAAAGTTTAAAATGCCCCGCGAAAATACGAAACTACTCCCTGTCCAAACCGGACATATGGGTGTAGGATGCGTGCGCACCTTCAATTTCCTCTTTTCTTCAACTCGAAGAAGCACATGGCTGCTATTTTTACCCTGGATTTCGTTCAAGTTTTCCGAGGGTGGTAACCTGTGTCATTGATTGTTTTCATTCTTTGTTTATCATACCAGTTTCCCTACTATTGTTTATCTATCTTTTTTGCCTTTTTTCACCGTATTTCGGTACCATTGCCACGTGTTTTGGTCCCGTTCGTTTTCGTGAGTGTGTACTTCACTTTCGTTTTCGTTTACGGTGATTTTTGTGAATTTAAATTATTTTATTTTACAAATAAAGGCTGACTTGTTAATTTATCTTGTTGTTTGTGAATCATGAAGGAATCCTCCAAATCTGACAAACGGAGTAAGAGGAAGAACAAGGCTAGTTCCTCCTCCGGTAGTACCGGCGACCCCACAGAGAGTCCTTCGGCAGGTACCTCGTTGGCAGAGGCCCTTCCGGGTCCCAAGACTACCCAGCCCTTGGCTGGCTCTAGTCTAGAGAGCACAGGTATTGGCTATCCTGTTGCCAGGGAGGTTGGTCCCCCTTCCATTGGTGTTAGTTCATCTCTAGAAAGGGTGGGCCCTCCTCCTCCTCCAGTCTCTGACTTTTTAGTCAGTCCTGGAGCATCTGTTGGTGGGGATAGAGTCATGAATTATCTGGGCCCCACAGAGTGAAGCAGCACTGCCACCTCTCATGACTCTTCACGGTCCCTTCTCCTTCCTGGTCAGGTATCCGGTATCAACCCTGTCGGGGTCGATTCCGTGCCAGCTTGCACCATACGGAACCCATGGGCCGCCGCCCATGGGTAATGGAGAAGGTGACAAATCTGACAAGAGTTCGGGCGACACCCCATGGTCTCGGGTATGAGTCCTTTGGGCCTCATGCTTCGGGTACTAGGCATCATGGTTTTGGTGCTTTCCAGCAGCAAACTGGTCATATGTCTAGCCCTCGGCCTTTCATTTCTGGTTTCGCTACGGGAGGGAGTGGCGGTTCACCTTTTCCTTTTGGTCAGGGTATTCCTTCCCATATACCCACTGGTCAGTTTGGTCAATACTGGGGTCACTCCTTTCCTTATGGTCCTAGCGCCCCATTTCCTCAGGGATTTGGGTACAACTTGGGTTATGCTCCGGGATTTAATCAGGGTTGGGGACCGGTCTCACCTCAGCAGGTTGGGGGCTCGCTGAATTCTCAGCTTCTACCCACCTCTGGGGCTCGGGAGGATGTTGTGTTTAAAAGACCTATTACGGCTTTTAAAACATCTCGCTCCAAGACCAATATCCCCGCCTCTCGTAGGTCTTCAGAGTCTCATCTTGGCCCTTCAGAGTCTAAGAGAGCTAGTAAGAGGACTTTCTCAGAGAGTCTCCAGAACTCTACCTTGCCCTTAACAGTAGACACTTCAGTGACTACTTCCAGGAGAGGTACTGAAATGGAGAAGGGGGACAGGGACCATGACATCCTCAGCCTGTCAACTGGAAGTGTGATGACTGAGTTTCAGTCGGAACCTCCTTCACCTCGTCATGATTCAGATTCTTCGGATTCTGAAGATGATGAGGTGTCGGCTGAGATTGAGGTAGAGACTGAGGTTGAGGCTGAAGCCCACCGTGCTCTGGCTGGCATGCGACGTAGCCAGAATCATCGGGGAGGAGTAAAATCCTCCTCCTGCGGCGTCTGCCATTACGGAGGCTACAACACTGCTGAGTCAGCTTGTTCCGTCTAAGGTTTCGGCTTGTTCCGACAAGTCTTTGCCTGGGGGTTCTGTTGTTTCCTCGGCTTTAGCCGTCGCCCGTGCTAGGATGGCAGAGAAGGCTGCTTCGTCCTCTCGTGCATCTGGTGCATCTGGCCGGCAGTTGAATTTGGCAGATTTATCTGAGGCTAGGTCATCGGACTACGCCATTCACAACGCCAAACTTGAGAGTCAACCAGCTAAGCTGGAAACTCACGAGCTTCGGCAATGGCCAGGACCGGCGACCGACCAGGTGGTATTCTCTGCGAAGGAACACCACAAACTGGAGAAAATCCTGCGGCTTTCTCTCCAGGTACTCTCATATTTTGATTTCCTGACGGTGACCCTTTTCCGTTTATTGGAAGTGCCCATCGGGGAGTCGGAGATTGATGAGAGTGACAGACGGGCTGTGCAGGATAGGGTGACCTAATCCTTGCACAACTGTCTGAAGGCCTCTGCAGCTTTGCAGTGTACACTGCTGGCCAATTTGGTTCTTACCAGGCGAGCCTCTGTGCTTAAAGGTAAGCCTATTGAGGAACCGTA